AATACAACAATATTAGGAATTCTTCTTATTGAAAACATGTTAATAAATACTTAATTTTATATTTTATTTCATCTACTTACTCCTCCGTCGCATCCTTTGAAAGGCAGTCAGTCCAGATGTGGATGATGTTCCTGCACTGGTGCTCTGTAAGGAGAGAATAGAGATATATTTATTCAAAATAAATCACATAGAGTCAATGTAAAATACATAGCAATGGTTAGAAGCTGAACAATAGTTAAAGAGCTCATATAAGTGTGCGCTGTTATAGAATGGCATTTACATTGGTATTGATGGAAGTAAGTTTCTGTAGCAACTGTTTTCCTGGTAGTGACTCACGAACCTGCAATCAAAGATCTCTACTTAATATCAACAAATTTGAAAATCTCTCAAATGTCTGCTTATTGCACGGCTATGAGATACTTGATTCTGATTTGTAAGTCATGCCATACAGCGATCACAAATTTCCTAATATTCACTGTTGTTCATGCCAACTCTGTATATCATACCACCTATCTGGAAACCAGAGCTAGATTTATGTCTCTCATAACAATCCAAGAACTCTGTTTATCGTCATACAAACGCACACAAAACACACTTGGCACTATCTCAGTTATCGACTGTAATGAAAATGACTTCAGAGAACTTCAGTTGCCTATTAATATTACTGAAATGTTTTTGCAGTGTCCATATTGTTGCTAGGTCAATTGCACAGTAGTGGAATACTGTTTTAAGCTAAGCTAATATACAGGTCAAATTAAAAATAATTTCAATTCAAATCAATATTTCCTGTTCATGTTTTTGGTGGGCAGCCGTGTAATAAGCAGGATAATGTACATTCACATAACAGTCACATGACAGTTCAAATAAACCCTGCCAGGCTAATATGGTGTTGTCAACGTTAAGTGGCTTTGCTTAAGCTTTTTGTAAATCAACAGAAGGAAACTCATACCTTGCTGTCTAAAAGCGTTCCGAACACCAAGATAAAGAATCCCTATTAAAGGAAGTGTTACAAGGTATGATTCAAAGTGATTCAAGTTTAATTAGAAACATGGACATTTATAATAAATCAGTGTGCAGCATTAGAGAAATGCAAAAAATAGGTATACACAAAATTTAATCTTACTATAAATTTGATATTAATGAGAAAGAAAGTGATACCTGCAGTGAATTGAGGAGTGCAAACACCACATGAATGCTTAAATCTTGTGACACCATGGTTCCAATGCCAAATCCCCATGTTAGACCAAAGATAGGAGTTAAAATGGCCACACATCTGGCAATGACCACCAGGGCATGTTTCTCATCTGGTTGAGTTGTGGCACCGACTCCTCTCCTCAACATCTTGTACAGAACTACAATCAAAACTACAAGGTTTATGGCTACAATAGTGAGAGCTGGAATCACAAATGCCAACAGGGCCTTTGATTCTAACCAATTCAGCCAGCATGCATTTCTTTTCGAAATATAATTTTGAGGTCCAGCTGTTGAGGCAACAGTGATGGCCGCTATGAGCAAAGGTGCACCATAACTGACTATGAAGGCGATGACCATCATTTTGGCCCTTGACATTTGAGACAAGACCATAACTGTACGGTAAAAGAGCAACAGCGCCGACATTAACATCCAGAAGAAAAGAGCCAAGTAAAAAAAGTGCATGAAGAAAACCACTGGACTGCAGCGACCCACTGAGGTTGGCTGTTCTTGTTCAGCGATTGCAGCTCAAATGATAAAACAGATGTTTGCGATCAGCAGGGACACGGCAATGTTGACTATGGAGACATGTCGTATGTAGGATGTGTCATTTCTTGTCACTGATTTCCATACGATAGTCTCAATAATCAGGCATATAATCAAGCTGGCCATCGAAATAGCTACGCCAATGTAAGTTATATAGGCTAAGGCTTTGTGATCAATGGAAAACGGTGACATTAAGATTGAAAAGGAAGTTGTGTGGTTGCATTCACATGTAATCTTGCCAGTTTCATTCCCTTTACTTATATAGGGCTTTACTTCACATCCAGTGGAATCCCAATTGCTGAGATTGAAGTTCCAAAAGACACACTGAGGATTTCCCAAAGACTGATTAGTAATGTCAAATGTAAAAGAAATGTTGTTAAGAGTTTCATTAACCTTAACAACAACCACATCTCCATTGATGCGCACATCTGATTTCCTGCTGTCATTAGTACCTTGAGAAGGTAGTACTTTGTCAAGAGTTGTGAAGATTATGATGGTTATGGTAGTCTCTTGAGGAACCTGTGGTACCACAATCTCTGTAGCCGAGTTTGGCAGTGCTGATGTTATATTGAATGAGTTTTTAATTGTAGTTCTATTCAGTTGAATGGATGTTTCATTAATCGCAAACTCATCTGTGAGACGGTCACTTATATCCTCAATAGCGCTCAAAAGTTTAATGCTGGTGTCTTCTGTGTTTTTGCCTTTGTTCAGTTTGTTCCATGTATCACTGACATTACCTGATACAATAATGTCCACTGTGTTTAGGAAACTCTGGAAATGTAATATAAAATTATGTTTTATATTATGAAGTTTAGCCCATAAAATGTGGAAATAATTGATATGTAAGATATTTGTATAATCTAATAAGACACAAAGACACTAACAAAATATATAATATATTATATCCTAATATAAAAAATATGATCTGCCACATTTTAATAAAATAAAATCCTGATAGTAACATATATAATATAATATAATATAATATAATAATAAAGAGAATGGCTATTGCACAACACAATTATGTAACTGAATCAACACAAGTTCTTATCTTAATTAGACATTATCTTCATTATCTAAATTCACTTCAATACAACAAGCATAAAATGTCTAAATATCACATAAAAGCTTAAATGTGAATACATACCCCCATAACTGGATTATTGATGGAAGTAGCTTGTGACAAGTTGGCAATTTTAAAGAGTATGTCAACAATTGCTTGGACAGTAGCAGCAGACTGGGTTATATTAATATCATGCTTTGCTGTGGCAGAACTGAGGTCAGCCATAAACCCTGGAATCTCCTCCACACGCAAGGACTAAATTGCAAAGTACAAATATATAAATGATAGAAACCTTTAAAATGGCCAGATCATTGTAGATAATTACATGATTACCTGAAGTTTGTTTTTAAGGTTGTCGATAACTTCAAGTACACAGTTGTCCTCTAATGGTTTCCAATCACGTGATTCACATTTGTAAGTAAAGGTGCCTTTCAAACCTTTTCCACAGACTCCTGTCTTCACTTCATCTGTTTTTCCAACTCCAAGTTCTTCATTTCGACAGTCATAATCTGGAGAAGTATTTGATTGCAAGTCAGAAGGGAAAATCATCAATTTCTCCACAATTTCTCTCAGAATATAACATCACATTACACTTTATAAATGTTGGGACTTGAAAGTACCCCTGCAAGCTACTTGTACAGTATGCAGAAACATCAGAAATAATTAGGGTCAAATGACTAAACAATATGACCAGTACATTCAACACCAGATAATCAGGTGTGATACGATCCAAAGAGAAGTCTGCTAGACCGTAAAAATCATGAAATTGTACAGTAAAAAAGTAAACAGTATAAAGCACTTTGATGCTGCAAAGAATGAGAAACTGAAGGCTCACTTTCTGTGCTTGTCCTTACTGTGACGGTGCTATAGCTATAACTGAAATTCTGTAGTTGTGGCAGATCCTTGAGACGACATGCAAAGGTAAAGGTTTGATCTGAACAATTCACCCTCGGAGTATCATAGTTTAATGTGATACTGTCAGATCCTGATTGTGTAAAAAGAGAAATGCATTTACACAAAAACATATTAATAACATGGATAATTTAATTGAAGGATTAAATAACAACTCATTAATTTATAAAACTGTACCAGTGATTTGTATGTACAACCTGAAATTTGTACTGTTCCACCCAGGACCCACTCAATATTGTAGCCAACATCAACAGAACATTTCAGTTGAAAACTGCTGCCATCACATGGAAAAACACGGTATTTATCACCCACGATAATACTGGGGCGTTGTTTAATAACAATGTTTTGCCACTGAATGTATGGTATTGTATTCCTTTGTGTGATGCACGAATATTGACCTGCATGTTAGGGCAAAACCAATAAACAAATGTATTATTAATATAATTATTTATATAATAGTTTGTGAATGAGTGGATGTTCATGACATTAATGCTTTGATTTTGATTGGTTAATTGTTTTCATAATTAAACTTAATGTTGATACAGCAGCAACATCTATGCCACAAATTGTATCCTAGTATACAATATTTAGTATAATCATATCCTAGTATATCAGTGCAGTGCTAATATACTTAAATCAAACTATGGCACAGTTTTATAGCAGTCTACCTTTTAAAGGGGACATCGAATGCCCATTTTCCACAAGTTGGTATGATTCTTTAGGGTCTTAATGAAATGTCTATAACATACTTTGCATTAAAATTCCTCAATGGTCGTATAAAACAACACCCTTTTTACCTTCTCTGTTCACAGCAACCTGTTTCGGTGCATGTCACTTTAAATGATAATGAGCTACTGCTCAGTCCACCCCTCTTTTCCAATGTTTTTTTTTGTTTGTTTTTGTGTGTATGTTTGGTGGTGCATTACCATCAAAAACAAAACTACGTCCTCAGTGGCTCTGATGACGTCATACTACTCAGAAAATCAAAACAGCTTGATATTTGAGACTGTTTAGTTTTTTGGGGGATTAAAAAAAAAAGAGTGAATGGACTTTTACCATTGTAGGGTGGTTGTTTCCACATACTGCTAAGACACATTTACATGCAAATACCATGTAAAAGTGAATTTTGCATCCAATGTCCCATTTAAAACCAGACTCTAATAGCAATCAGGCACTTTGCCACAGGCAAAGACAAAATAAATCCATGTCACTCACCACTGTCGGTTTCACTAGTACTTTTCACAGTGAGAGTTCTGTTGTTGTTTGAAAGTAAGTATCTTGTGTTGTCTAGTGCAGGATCTTTGTTATCCACTGTCCATTTTATTTGTCCCTTTGCAAAGTCTGGCTGTATACAGTTCAGGTCCACCTTTTGCAGAGGATATAACTGATCTGTTGTGAAAATGGTTTGATCTGTAAATAGAAACCATACAGCTCATATCACCCAACAACAAACAAAACCTAAACAATAAAATATGATGGAACTAAGAAATCTGAAGGGTTTTAGAATAGGCACCGACTACTCTTACCACTTTGAGCAAAAGCATCTTCAGTTAAAATTATTCCTTGTGCCTTTAGAGAGTCAGAAACCTGTGTGTTTGCTGCTCCAAAATCAAGGCTGTTGGATGTTGCATTTATTGTGTAGTCTGCTATAACACTACCAGGCCTATGGAGCAAAACACAAACCACACCAATGTAAAGACATTATTTACATTATATTTGAAAAAAGCAGTAAATAATGGGAACTTTGTGTGAAAAAAGTGAACATTTAAATGGTAGATCATACCTGAAGCCAGAGACTTTTGTAGAACCAATATTGTAGCCAGTTAGTTTATTAGAATAACTTGCGTTAATCTGTAAAAAGCAAAAGTACCCAATGTATGCTTGAAAATGTTACAATAATAAAAATGAAATGAAGTTATTGTGATATGACATCACTATGTTATGTGCGTATATGGATCAAGTCTCTCTTCTACAAGGCTTTGCAAAGAGGTTGATATTGAAGGATACTATATCTGAACTGCTTCTGACCATTAAATGGATGTTACAGAAAAATAAATAAATATATTTATATAAAAAAATAATTAAAAACAAAAACATGTATGTTTTGTCTTTTTCAAAGTTATGTTCAAGCTGTATTCAAAGTTGTATTTATAGTATTCACAAAAATCTGCTTTTTTTTCATTAAATGAAACACAGAATACTCACTGTTGACTGAATTCGTCCAGATAAATCTTTGTAACTGTCGCTATTAGGCTCTGCAAGACTTAAGTCAAAAGTCTGAGCTATTTTTATTAGCATTCCAATGACTGTAAAACAAGTTTACATTTATGCACATTGTATCAACAGGCTTAAGCAACAATCATCAGTCTTTAAAACTATACTAATGCAAATTCAAATATATGGATAATATCCAGTTAGAGAGGATGCATTAGATGAACACTGGTGCCCCCCAAGAAATTAACTCATCATAAGACAATAAATTAACAAAAAAGATTTCCTGTTTAAATTTTTCGACATGCATTGCATAATTTTTGTACCCCTACTAACACAAAATATCTTAATTCAGTCATATATTTTTGTGCAGTATTTAGATTTAGATTCACAGTATCTGTCAGTGCTGTTTTTGACACTGTTGAATAAAAAAATATCAGTACAACAAAAATATGAATATTTTTTCCTTCATGAAATCAAACAGTTAATAGCAAAGGGTTAATACAGATCTATAAATTTGTTTTTCAAACACGCAAAACAATTCATTCATTTGATTATGTATTGAATCTATTAATTTCCAGAATTTAAAAATGTAAAATCATCTGAGATGACTCATGACAAAATATGAATGCATTGTCACTGACAAAAAAATAGTTATGGTTTAGTTGCACACAGACTCTTATTTTGACACTGCACATCACTTTCCTTGTGCACATTTCTGGTTTAGTTCCTGTTTTGTGTTTGTTGCTACGGTTTCTACAATGTCCCATTCAGTTCACCTGTGTCTTGTTAAGTTAGCTTGTTTGTTTGTGTATTGAGGGGATAGGTGTCATGGGGTCTGTTCTTTGTACGTGGATTACTCAGTTAGCAGGATTTATTGTTGGTGATTTAACATGATCGTTTGTTCCAATCCTGTTGTTGAACAGGATTGTTCATCGAAGCTCATCCCGGAATTGCTGTCATAGCAACAGGTCCTTAAACTCAAACCTCCTCGGAAGCAGGATTATTTCATGTCAACAGGATTAGATGGTATCATTTTAAGTGAAGATGATACTGAAAATCTGCCCCAGCCACTGCGACATTCTTACAAGTGTACCTTATTAAACCAGGAAAAATTATTTTATGCGGGTTTTGATGTGTTGCAGGAGATGCAGGCCACTTCTCAAATCTCAAAATGCTTTCATGAAGCACAAATTGCAATCAATTTAAACACAGAAAGTTATGTCTTAAGATGGATCTTATGGGTTAAGAAACTTTCATTAATGCTGTCACATATAACAAATCCGCTTCAAAATGAAATAAAGTACAATACTTTTGACATTGAAAAATGCAAATCCTTTACAAACACTAGAAATGGTCAAAATAATCACATTTTATTTATCTATTAGATATTTTATGTCATTTTACTCGCTAGGCTGTGTCCTTGATCTTAATTATAGGATGTCATTACGTTGCTGTCTTGCCGCCAGCCAATCGCTATATTGCTGATCATGGTTTTGAGTACCGATATATCTGCCCTTTCCAATGAATATGTCATCACGCAGTAATCTCAGACAATTTAATCCAGATATTTTAATCAAATCCACAAACTTGTTTGAAAAACCAAATTAGCCAGAGATCAGTTATCAGGATGAAAAGATCTAGCATCTGTCAAATCATCTCAGATGGATTAAGCAATGTACAAAGAACAGACCCATGGTTTGCTTGGGTTGTCTCTATATTGTCTCTTTGTGTCAATACCATTAACTTAAGTGTGCATTGAATCAATGGGTTTTAGGAACAGTTCTTATTACTAATACTAATCTTCAACATCTTCACATACAGTTGTTGTGCTGTATCTCAGATTTTGTTTTACTGGGCATACCTGTTGTTGTTGTGTTTGTTCTTGTTGGAGGTGTTGATGGTGTTGTTATTGGTGGTGTTGTTGGTGGTGGTACTGTTGGAACTGAAGAAAACTGACATGACTTTGAAAAGAACTTTAAATTTGACATGAAAACTGATTGTATCCTTTTGAAAATTAGAAAAAGGGTGTTTAAAAAAATCAGAAAAACATAATTATGCAAATAAATGAATCGCACCTATGCATGGATTATTGCTATTAATACTTTCATTCATCTTTGTAGCATTATATCCTTCCCAACAAGAGCATAAATAGTTTCCATTGTAGATGGAACAGTTAGCATTCGGCCCACACACCAACGATGAGTTGAGACATTCATGAATATCTGAAATAAAACAAATGATAAAAACACGGCTGCTGATAAGATTAAAATGTCCAATCTGACAGCATCAATAAAGCACGTCAGTTTTGAATCATGACAAACAAAAAAAATGACTGTTCAGAAATTCACCTTTAACAAAAAGAAAAAAAAATCTTATTACATTATTATTGAGTTCAGCATAAACATATGTGAAGCTAGAACTCACTTGTCATGATCCCAGTTTTGTGTTTCCCCTGTCTTGTGTTTAAGGACTTTTAAGTTGAAGTGTTTTGTATTGCTATTGTTTCTGTGCTTACTTCCCGTTAGGGCTGGGCGATATTGCAAAAAAATTAAATCTTGATTCTGTCTTATACATATTATATGTTTAGACATAATACAAGCAAAATGCTTTAAAAAAAATCTCAAAAGTCAAGGTAATTCAAATTCAAAATGACTGAAGGTAAAACACCAGTAGACATTAACTGTAAATGTTCTGTAAAAACAATGAACAGCAGCTTTCAGGCTGTCAACAAGATGCAAACATGAACTTTCAGACATACAGTATTAGTTCTTTACAGGTTTTATTCAATTGCGCTGCTTTTCCATTGTTTTTCATATGTAAACATGTACGCGTTTGACCGTTGCGCATGCATGAAACGACATTCTAAAAACACGGCGCTCAAGTTAAAAGAAGTTCAACTCAACTCCCATCTTCCTGCATTTTTTCCTATTCCAATGCCCGTGTCGCATCTTTGTCAACACAAAAGTGCATCCAGTGTAAATGGCATCTAGTGATATATTCTACTTATGGTCCTTCACAGAGCGCGTCACACATGAGCGGTTAATCACGTGCACCGACATGCGTTTGGATCATTCTTTTCTCTTTACTGTTAACACTGGCATACTGTTATAATGTCATTAAATTCGAATTAATCGATCAAATCTGAAAAATCGCCCAGCCCTACTTCCCGTTTGCCTTTGGTTCCACTGGTTCCTTGTTTGCTGTCCTAGTTACCCTTATTGGTTGCCATAGTAAATCATTAGCTCCCCTGCTTGTTATCCTTGTTACCTTGTGTATATATACCCCAGTGTTTGTCTTGTTCTTTGTCAGTTGTTGTCTCTCTGTAGATGCTCTTGCCTTAGTTCCCTAGTTTGTGCCAGCTCTGTTTCCTTGTGTACCTGTGTTTGTTTTATTTTATTTAACCTTGTCTGCACCTGGATCCACTTTGTATCGCCATTGTCTAACCCAGCATTACACCACTTCAACAGGTGTTATGTGTTATGTATTTTCTATATCCTTACTGTTGCATGGGTTACCGGTGTTGACTGATTAATTCCTATTGGTTCTAAACTGCCATTCGGCGGTGAAGCCACCGGAAGTGTTCGAGCGGCCATCTTACTATTCCTTACCTGCTGAGAGCATCATTGACTGACAGCCAAAACCTTGACCTAAAATCACCCCATTTGAAGTGTATCAGACTAGATTTTAGTTTTTTTTTTTAGATTATTCTCCTTCAGCGACGGCTACTGGATCTTTGCTCTACGAGAGCAAAAAAGCAAAAAAAGCACATTTTCGGCATTGTTTCAAATGCTGAGCCGTTACTGTTGCTCGTGCAGGGCCCCCCTGCACACCGCTGACGGTCACAGCGAGTGTATTTCATGCTTGGGCACCACCCATTCTGAAGCAGCACTCTCTGAGATGGAATGTTCTCATTGCGAGGATATGATTCTTGCCTCTCTGCGCTTGCGGAAAGCTTTCTTTTCAGAGAATGACTCCACCCCTCGCGCCCTCCCGCTTTCTTCCTCCCAGGAGCCTGTGAGGAAAAAGCAGCGGTGCAGAGGAACTCGGCGCTCTGTGACGAGTGAGCCCACGCCGGCTGAGCCCCCGCATGCCTCACTCTCTCCGCTCAGAGAGGTTTCTCCAGTCCACTTCTCCCTCCCAGACCAGTGTTCCTCAGCGGCTGCGGCTGTGAGTGATCTGGTCTCATTTGGAAATTCCCGACATTAAACAATTTAGGCTACTAATTACATGCTCAAGACATTTGCGTTGTAAGAATGTACAGTGAGACTTCAGATATAAAAACGCTGACTCGTTAGGTGTTTTCTCATTAAAATCGTACAATTTCCTATTAATTCAATAGCATGTATGAGAATACTTGGTAATGCCAATATGGAGGTGCAGTGGCCTCACTTTTATGACGTCATTAGCAATCCAGTTCTCTATTATAGAACAGTGGGGTGAACCAATGATTTAATGGGCCATTCATAAAGAGAGACATTTACTTAATTCCTGAATAAAACAGCAGTTTGAACAAATCGAATGAATGAATTAATTAATTATTGAATTAATGGCATTTACTGCCACCTACCAGCAGTTTTAGTTTCTTATTTAGAGTATA